CAGCGGTTTATTTTTCTGTGAGAAATTTTGACATATTTTTGGCTATGACTATTTAAGACAAATATTTTAAAATAAAAAGCTTTTAAGGTTTCAAAAAAGCATCTGTGTATTCTGAAGAATTTGCACTAAAGTATTAATTATTCTTATATTCTCATTTTAGTTATAAATAAGATGTGGCTTTTAAATAATGGAACTGATGCTGCTATATGAGAAGTAGGCATGCTCTAAATAGGTACATTTTCTTTGGAATTCAGTATCTTGTGCTTTCATAAAAATACATTAGAGTTGTTTTCTGTTTTGTTCGAAAGAAAGCAGTGTGAAAGTAGAGCAACGAATTTTTGTTTATATGAAACTTTAGATGAAAAACTGCCATGGTCCAGTGAAATAAATATTTTCTTATCCCTTTGCAACAGCCAGGTAGTTTACTGAGTTTTTCCGTTAATAATATATACCTATAATAAAAAAACATATGCTTTCTGTAAAAATTTCGCCGTGGTTTATTAATTATAACGATTTGTGCGAAACATGCGATTTTTCCGAATTTTTGGTTAGCATTAAAAAATTTATACCTAAATATAAACATTTTATATATGTTAAGAAATAGAAAAAGCAAAAACAGCAAAATACGGTAAAATCGTTAATTATTTATAATTTTTGTAAAAATTAACTCATACTTTCGTAATTGCTGTCAAAGGGAGATCGTCTATTTCTTAAAAACCTCTCAAAAATTCGGCTATTCATACTGTTTAACCTAGAGGTCATTTTTTTTAAATAACAATAGACATAAAATAATGAAATTAGGCTAAGTCTACCAGTATCAAGTTACGAAAAATCATTTTCACATCGTTTCAAAAGGCAAAAATCGTTTTGCAAAGTTACTCCTATTTTTAACTGATAAGCAATTAGAAGAATTTTGTATATTGCAGCACTAGTCTTATTATTTAATAAGCACACCTCATACACAAATAGTTTTAACGTACTAGTATGTACTACTAAATTAATTATAAAAAAAAAAACAGGTAAAAACATTCCATAATTATTGAGAACAACATATTTAAAAAGGAGCTTGTTGCACGCTTTTGGCTATAACTGTATTAACAAAAAAAGAAACCATATCCTAGCAGTAATATATTTTTTGTTAAAATGAAATTATTCAAATTTCGAAAGTATGAAAAACAAAATTTGCTTACATAAAAATGAGTGAAAAAAATGGGGAATGTTTATGTTCCTGGATACAACAGCTTAGTGAATAATGATGATGATCATTTTTTTGAAGTATGATGTAAAATTAGCTATGATATTAATGTAAATAAAAAGTATTTTAGGTTCTACTTTGTAGATTACAATTATTATCAATTAAATTGATCCTTAAATATATTAAGGAAACATAATTTATACAGATTTAGTTAGCAACTAATGCCATAAGGTTTTGACTTATTTACTCTTAAATCATTACTCATTAAAGTAACCGTAACCAAGAGTCAATTAACATACACAGAGAATAATTTAAAACTACACGTACAGCAAACGCTAGTTATAACAATGTTTTTTCGCGTAGATTTGAAAACGATTCACTATAGAAGTATTAATTAAGTAAATCGTGACAATGAAACAATGATGAGCGTCAATAAACAATGAACAAATTCTGACTGAATTAAAAGATAACACTAACTACCGCATCGTTCCGCGGATGAGCAGCGCGGTGACCAGGTGTAATAATATGCTGTAATTTCATCATAATCGGCGTTTGCTGTATCTTCAGTAGTTCGGTAGAATTTTCCTTTAATTACTTAACAAACTATAGATGAAATTTTATGTGAAAAATGTTAAATAGACATAAATCCAAACTTACGTTTGTTTATGATTTCTTTTCTCTTTTCTTAGACACTGTAATGTATATAAAAATCGTGTTTTATCTTAATGGTCATTATTAGAAGCAGCTTGATCTTAATAAAAAAAAAATCGGTGGCAAAGAGTTGTCATGAAGAGCCATAGCCAAGCAACCAGAAGAGCTCCGAGTTAAATGATCAGATATAAATTTGTTGAAATGCTTAGAGAAACTAAGCTATTCATTCTAGATAAGATTTTAGCAGAAATAAAACAGCTGATAAACCACCAAAAACAGTATTTCCAAAAGATCAGTTCATGATATTTCCCTGTCAGAAAAAGTAAGGTTCTTAACAATATACCTTGTAAATTGAACATCTCTAATACGGATTGGAACCGCTCATTTCATAGTTAGTACTTTTATGTAGTTAATATGTACTTAATCATAGTAATAAATTTACAGTAAATATCCATTGACGTTTCCTTTTTTTATATATTATTTATGTATGCTATTATGCCAATCCCGGAATGAACACTTCACAATTTAATACAGTTTTGTTAACATTAATAGAATTTGCGTTAGAAGAACAGCTTACTTTAACCAAAAAATATTTGCAATTACCCACAGCAAAAATTCTGTATCTGTAAAGAAACTCAAAACGTATATTTCACATTCCACGAAAAAATCAAAGCATTTAAAACCTGTCATTGTAAGACAAAATGATCAAATTATATTTGATTTCAATTTTACATTTTATTTTGCATTTTCTTTGCCTATTTAACTTTTGAAGTTCACCAACCGAAAATTAATGGATTGCGTTGTTTATGAACGACAGTTGTTTTTATTTAACATCAGGAAAACGCACAAATAAAGTTCAACTTTCTGAATAGTTTATGAACTTTTAACATAACGTCCCAATCTAGAACACTATTTAAAAGTAGATAATCTTATAATTGTAATTATATTGATTAGCTTGTTAAAGCATATGAAATAGTAACTGTTCAAATACAATAAGAATAACTTTTAACATTCAAACCTTTATTCGACTATGTATCTGTTAATTGAAAAATACGACGGCAGTCCAATAAGTTCTTACCTCGTCGTTCAATGGCGGCACTATGGCGAGAAGTTTACTATCGTCTAGTATCTAGTACATTTTCGTAGATGACTAATGTCAAGATTTCGGCCGAATCGGACTCTTAGTTTTCTTTTGACCGCGGGTGGAAGCGGACATGTCCTCGGATTTTATAAAACTGGAAAATGGTGATTCGATCCTTGTTTTTTAAACAAAAATAGCCGAGTAAAATCAAAAAGCGCGTTTTAAGCATGAGAAAGCTATCGTTTGCTCACTCCGGACAACAAGCGCAACCGTGAGAGCACTTCAGAGCAGTGTTTGTCGCTGTTTATGCGCAATTCGAAGGAGTTTCTGCGTCTTTTCGTGACCGTCGACGAAGTGGATCCACTGTTACACACCAGATAACGCGAAACAGTCGAAACAGTGGACGTATCCCGGCGAAATTGCTCCGAAGAAGGCGAAGACTGTCCTATCGGTCAAAAAGATTATGGCCACCGTTTTCTGGGATTCACAAGGTGCAATCTTGTAATCCAAATCAGGCCTTTCTACTCAAACGACATCAGTTTCACAAGACAGAGACAGATAGAAAGAGCTGAGGGAGGTATATGCCCAGCATTGGATGCGTACAAGTTGATGATGATAATAACGATTCTACTACTTATGTCCTATATAATGTAAAGGTGATGGCATCAAATAGCACATAACATGTGAGGAACTCATGGGGAGGCCTTTGTAAAGCAGTGGATGCAAACATGCTGAAGAAACAGAATCAACATTAACTACCTATAGAAGGACAAAACGGTCACAGAGCTGATTTTCACCAGCTCAAACATCTCTCGTTGGTCTAAATTGATTGAATTGAGCTAAGAATTGCAGCGCCATCCATAATATACTCAAGATTTGTCCCACGCGACTTTCTTTTGTTTTCAAACTTAAAAAAGTCACTCTCCGGCCAGAAATTTGAGTCGAATATGGAGGTCATCGCCGCCACACAAAATCAAAACTTTTACAAAAGTTTTTCTTTTGTAGCCCTCCTACCTGTTATTCCAAATAATTTTTCTCAAATTGTCTATCTATTCTTCTCTCTCGTACACGAACTACCATAGCGATAATTCATAATAGCAATAGCGCAGAATTTAAATAAGCTTGTTAGGTTATTGACCTTAAAAAATGTTCATAAACGTACATTTAAAAATTATAAGGTAATTAAATTTTAGAAATATATTTATTTTTTAGAATTATCATAAAAAAATAGTTTTACTTTATGGCTCAACATATACAACTCTTCTAGAGAAAAAAGAATTAAAACCCAAATATTTAGTGGCTGAAAATATGTACACCTAGACTTTAATTAAAACCAATTATGAAGTTAAAGGACGTCTCAAAGTGTATTGTATTGATGTTTCCCTCTTTAACCTATTGAGTGTTTAGTCACGTTATGTGCAAGCACGTTTGAAATCACAAATATTTAATACCGCTCTTTGTTTGAGCAAGATCAGCCAATAGACACGGATTATTATGAAGTAATAAAATAACAAAAGATAATAAAAGATGAATTTATAAAACAATAATAGAAAGTATTGGATTGTATGGCGCCGAACTATGGAAAATAAATAAAAGAAACAAATCAAAAATTAAGGCCATGGAAATGAAATATTGGAGACGATGTTGCCGACTCAATACATTTGGTATAGTGAGACACAATTGAAACCTAAACTAAACTGGTATGGACACCTGCAGAGAATTCCTGAAAATAGATGACCAAAAAAGATAAAAAAATGGGCTCCCCCACTATAAGAAGAAAACGAGGTAGACTAAGACGTTCCTGGAGATAAGAAGTCGAAGATGCAATGACCGCCAGAGATTTAAAAACTCTTCGACAATCGCCTGAAATTAGGATGCGAGGGATGGTGCCTTCTGTACAAAACTCGCCTATTATATTTATATATACAAGGAATGAACTGGGGTTCACGAGGCCCGAAAAATCTAAATTTATTCAGAAAATATATAAAATTAATGCAAAAAAAACCGAAAAAACACTCATTTTTATTTTCGAGTATTTCCCCCCAAGAACCGAGGTTCTCATTTATTATAAGTTGCCTACTTTTTGCAAAAAATTGTGCGTACAAAAATTGTTGCCAAAGCGATCAGTAACTGGCAGGAGATATAAAATGGTAAATCGGGTAACGCGGGAACAAATAAAAGATAACTTTGAGACATTTAAAGTCGCTTTGTAAACATGAAGCATACCTAAATACCAATTCAAGACAACAGTTCTTTAACTTTTAGGGAAATATGGCAGTTGGCAATATAAAGAATATATTCTTGTAATAACGTTTTATATTTTATGTTTTTTATTAAGATAAATAATCAAATTTAAAAATGAACTGATAAATAATATGTAATCTTTTGTTAAACTAAAATCAATTATAAAAATGAACTGATAAATAATATGTAATCTTTTGTTAAACTAAAATCAATTATAGGATCATTATCTACTTTTACATAACAGTCATAGATTATATATTTTTTTTAATTGGTGAACTTCAAAAATAACTTAAAACCTAAAAAAACAATATTTACACTTCCATCTCCTCCAAAGTTTTAGACAATCGATTATTATCTATCCTTCTCCTTTGACTCCGTCTTACGGCATCCGCTCTTCTATATGGCTCACTCTTTAATCCTAATAAGATGTCCTCCAAGGCCCCGTTGTAGACTTCGTCTTGTTGAAGTAATTTCTTTTCTTGTACCATCCTCGTTTTTGTTTTTAGTTCATTTATCACAGCCTCCTGTATCAATTTCAGTTCGTAAGAGAATTTTTTGGTATACTATACGACTCAGATTTTTATGTCTGAATTAAGTAATTGATAAAAGCAAATGCCACTGTCAAAATGCCCTTAGTTGAATCTTTAGATGAATAATAAAATTATAAAAAGGTAAAAAAATAGCTTGCTGTAATGTTTTATGATTATGTAGACAAAGATCGTAGCCTATTGAACAAACACAAATATTAACGATTCCTTTGGCCCAAATAAGTAGCTCAGTAGGTGATAATTCAATCAATCCGTATAGCAATCACCAGCTAAACAGAACCAACCCCGGACATCTCTAATATTTACGAATGTTGCCAAGAAGTTAATAATAATGGGTGATTTTCTAACAAAGTGTTGTGTCGTGATCGGTGTCGAAACCATTCAGGTTAGAGCAGAACGAAAATAAGGACCTACGCTGGTTCTCTTTAGTTGACAGCTACTATATGTATTTGAAATAGAATATCCTCTACTTATTTTAATTTTGAAATCTATTGAAAAACATATTTAGTTTCTTCCCTAAAGGATACTTATTTCCGATTTATTTCTTTATCTAGTACGAAAACATAGTATGTATTCCTAAAATTAATTATTGGTACTGGACAACTTTTTAAAAATGTTTTGTTTTCAATGATTATAGTTTCAATGCCCACTTCAGGTATATGTGTCCACTTTGTTAGCAAAAGCATCTAAAAACAAAACACATTTTAAATAGTGCACAAGACACTGTAAGTGTTTATCTTCTTTTATGTATCCTGTAATAGCAGATTCAATAATTATGCTAAATATTTGAATGATGGTGATCTATGTAGCGGGAAAAACACCTGTTATCATTTATATTTTTCTTTAACATGTCCACTTAGTGTCAGTGCGGTGTTACAGTATTTCTGAATGGGGTATAGTCACTATTTTTTATATACAACACTAATATTGTATGTTTATTTTAAGAAGCGAAATATGGTTCATAGTCACCGGCAACTCTAGGCCCTGTATATATGTCTATACTTAATGATACACAATACATATATTTCCAGATAAATTGCCTTTAGTCATAACGGAACAATAAGAAGAAGAGAACCCATCTGTAACGGTCTTTATACAGCTGATCATTTGACTCATCCACTTTTTGTAGCGCTCTGGAGGACTGTGTAGAGTTATCTCAAGAAGGGGATAAGATGTACCCTTTCTCTTTGTTTATATTCTCTAAATGGTTTCTGATTTACATTTGGATAGAATAAAAGTATAGATTTTTGAAAAGAATTTGTGTTTTTCAAACAATATGGAAAAGTCCAGTATCTTCTACTACTGCAGAATAATAGAAAAGTCCACAGCTAATGCATCTTTGCTGCTGCTGAATTCGAGTTTTAACATGTTCGACATGTTTTTCATTTCCAGATCGCCTCTACACTCGTACCTGAAGGGTTTCTAGATGAAACCCAAATCTGGATTCGTCGATGTCAACAACTTGTCATCGTTATCGGATAAGTCATTGTCCCCCCAGTTTTGAAATTCGTGACCGTACTGTCACTTCACAGAATGATTGCCTCTAAAAATTAACCTAAGTAAAAGAGTTAAGGCTAATACTCGAACTTGAGTTGCAATTGCAACACGTTCAAATTCAGTAGCAACTATTGTTCGGCAGCATCTTCACCAAATATCACCATAATTGCTAGGTTAACTCAGCTTGCAGTACACAAAAAATTTATCACTTCGCAAATTTAACGCTACCAAAGATTTCTTTGAAAGTCTATAAATGTAGTCTTATACTATTTCTTTTAGTAACTGCATTATAAATTCATTACAGTTTTTATTTAACATTTTCTTATTACGAACATTTAGTACAAAATTTCACTGTGATAATCTTTCCTTAATCTACAACAATGCCATTGTTTTACGTTATTTTCCTTACATTTTACTAATTTTCGATACAACGTGACGAAAACTAAGAATAAAGAAATAAAAATGTATTTCTTGAAAGTTGTGTCCTAAAGAGTACTAAATTAATATCAGGAATACTAAATTTCAACGCTTAATAAAACGATTTTTTACACATCACAAAACAAACGGTCGTGGTGACCTTTGATAATATTATAATTTATAGCAAATATATTATAGTCTAGTCGGCTAAATTTTATTATAACCTTTAGGCGGGTCAATAAGTCAATATTGATTTTAAAGAAGAACCATTTTTGCTCAATATCTAACCATTTTTTTATTCAATATCTTGGCCCTGTTAAATCTTTCGACATAATGGGGACACTAAAATTAATGCAAATGCGATTTTCTAATTGTTTTTTACAACTTTTTTTTCGTGTGCTCGATATTTTTCGAGTTAGAGGGAGAAGCATAATTATTAAATTATCTTGTTTATTATTCTTCTTCTAGTTCCATAACCGTTATCGATCGTTGGATATCATGTTGGCTACCATATTCACTATCGTGACTTTATTAACAGCAGCTCTAAATAACGATGTAGTTGATTTTTCATACCTTTGCCTTTGATTTTTCAGCCATGATGTTCTTCTTCTACCAGGACCACGATTACCTTGGATCTTTCCCTGAATGATCAGATGTAAATGTGACCGAAATATTCCAGCTTGCGTTTCTTTATTATATTGACCAGTTGTGTTGTTTGGTTCAGCCGTCTAAGGACCTCCTCATTTCTAACTCTGTCGACCCAGCTTATTTTCAGTAGTCGCCTGTATACCCACATCTCAAAGGCTGTCAAGCGTTTAAGGATAGCCTCAGTTAGAGTCCATGCTTCCCCTCCATACAGCAGGATAGGAGAGATGTAGCAAGATGTCATTTAAACTCTAAGGTTAATGCTAAAATCGTGACTACAAAGTACGTTTCTCATTTTTACAAAGACAGCTTGTATTTGTTCTATTCGGCTTTTAATTCCTGCGGTTGGATCCCAGCTCTCATTGATATTACTGCCGAGATACACGAGTTTCTCTACTCTGTCCAGTGTGGCATCTCCGACTTTTATACCTTCATCCTGTATATAATTTTGTTAGCTAACTTTCATCTTAACATTGAGTTTCTTAACGTTTCTTAACGTTGAGTTTTAAATCCATACTGATCACAAGTCTGTTTTATTTTTTTCATTAGATTTTGAACGTCTTCTCCGCAATTAGCAAGCACTAAGGTATCGTCGGCATATATAATATTGTTGGCGGTTATAACATTATGAAATAAATGTACATAAACAAATAGGTGGAGACTTATATTTCATTCAAGTTTGAACTTTTTCATTTTTTTTTGCCGAAATCAATATTTGAGGTCCTACGTCACCAATGAAGAAGTACTGCGGAGGATGAACACAACTGCGGATTTGGTCAACATCGTAAAGGGCGGTAAGCTGCAGTACTTGCGACATATGATGAGAAATCGAGGCAGATACGAGCTACTTCAATGCATTTTACAAGGCAAAATTGAAGGAAAAAGGGAAGAAGAATATCCTGGCTTGCTAACCTGAGAGCATGGTATAGAAAGACCTCAACACAGCTATTTCATATACCAGTCAACAAAGTCATCATAGCCAGAATGATCGCCAACGTTCGGAACGGACAGGCACCCTAAGAAGAAGTATGCGGTAAAGGCGCGAGCGTAAGAGCTTACGGGATTTATTTTATGTTTTTTTTTTTAATAACTAGGCCATTTCCAACTTTTCGACAAAATGTGATGTTACAATAGCGATTTCCCACAATTTCTTTGCAAATTTTTCCGTGCAGTCGATATTTTTCGAGATAAGGAGAAAATAGTGACCATTGAATTCTCGTTCTCTCACTCTCTTTCTTTCTCTCTCTCTCTCTCTCTCTCTCTCTCTCTCTTTCTTTCTCTCTCTCTCTCTTTCTTTCTCTCTCTCTCTCTCTCTCTCTCTCTCTCTCTCTCTCTCTCTTTCTCTATATATATATATATATATATATATATATATATATATATATATATATATATATATGGCTACATCGTACTGAAGACGACCAATAGTCAGAAATATGTATATACGATTGCCTTCCATCGATATACCTTTTTGGCGAGACATGCCATTACATTTTACTTTTATTATTTACTCGCATTATCCTTTTCTATTTGTTCTAAACGTGTTAACGTTTGGCATTCCTTTCCCAGATAGCTGTAGCTGCCTCCGTGGTTATTGTTAGTTGTTGCCTTGGAAACCATCCTAACTCTAATGCCACAAATTGGTCGCATTGCTCCTGTATTGATCCTTTCCCAAGTTAACATGCTCCTTTTCTAACTTGGCTGCACCGTACTTAAGACGACCAATAGTTAGAAATACGTAGAAAGACCATACTATTGAATCTCGTTTATTATCAACATTACAACATAATTGTACATTAACGAAAAAGGACATAATTATATTTTATACAATTTTGAATTTTTTTTATTTGAATGCGAAAATCAACATTTAAGGTCCTATGCCTATGACGAGCCTAACGAGACACAAACTATTAACAAATCCTAAAAGCTGATACCATCAGCAACAAGCCATAAAAAGAACGAACCTACAAAAATTGATTTTAGCAAAAAAAATGAAAGAAATTAAAATTGTATAAAATATAATTCTCTCCATTTTTCTTTAGGTACATTCATGTCATCGTAAAGATAATAGTAAATGAGATAATTCAATAATTATGATTATTTGCATATAAATGGTGCATACATTATGCACTATTTAATCCTTAACTTGGAAAATCGCATTTGCAACAATTTGAGCAAAAACGGCTCTCATTTAAATTCAAGATGACCTCTAACTAAACGGTTGGATTCAGTTGCGATTTTAAATATACACTACTATTGACCCCCCAAAGGCTAGAACAATAAAATTTGGGGTAGCACGCCATGCTACCAAGTCAAATGACACTGGACTATTAAGACAGCGTACTATACAAAACTTGTTCATCATATTAATTTTTGTTAATAATAAAAAAAGCAATATTAAAACTTACGAAATAAAT